GTCCTTCTGGAGTGCCCAAAGGGATGCAAGGAGGGCAGCGGTGTCTGTCAGAGCAGGACACGCTGGCTTGCTCTTCATATCTAAAAGTGTGAATGGATCAGGGCTGGAGACTGAGGCCCAATTTATCTTCACCCCAGCCTCAGACAGGAACACTATTTAGCAGTTTTTCCATCCTGCCTTTCATCTTTAACAGGTACCTCAAGCCTAATTAGGGGGAGATCCTGCTTGGGCTCAATTTGGAGCTTTAGTTCCACTTCAGCTGTCCACAGAGAGAGGGAGAGAAATGAGAAGATGGATGTCCAGAGCAAACCCTGCAGTTGTGTTTGGGTCTGGGGTCAGTGATAAGCCTGTGACAGGGATCACCTGAGCAATGGATATGTGTGTTTGCTTTGTTGTGCAATCCCAAACAGAGCAGCTGCATCTGAAATCATGGCCAAATTCCATAGAATTGCTAAAGGGTTCCTGGCTGTTTTGCTCTGTTTTCACAGAACCAGAATTACCTCCTGCTTGCAAAATGTGTTTGAATAGTAATGAGAGTGTTGAGGCCATTTGAGAAGACTGTAGGTGCAGAGAATGTGGTTAGAGCTTGGAGGCTGACAGCTGAGGGGCCATTTCTGCAGAGCTTGCAAGGCCAAATGTCTCTGGCCGTGTGTCCTGTAAGCAGCCCCAGCGAGCAGAGCAATGGGCTGTGGGAGTGGCCCTTGCTGAGCTCTGGTGCCCATCCCAGGGCAGTTTGGCACAGCCCGGCTCCGTTGCTCCAAAAAGCCTCGCCCCGTGTTTGCTGTGGCCTCCTGCCACAGACTCCTCCAGTTAAAGGTCTGCAATGTCCCCTCAGGTGGCCATAAAGAAAATGAGTCTCAGAGGGCAGAACAGGGAACGAGCTGTGAATGAGCTCCTGCTCCTGAAGGACAAGAAGAACCCCAACATTGTCAACTCTTTGGACAGGTGAGTGCTTCAGGCCTCATCCCGTGCACGGGCCCTGCCTTAACCTTTCCTGGCACCCATAGTCTGTAGCCTGTTTTGAAAATGCCTGACCCAGCCATGTCTTCCCAAAAGAACAGCCTGGAAGTTCACTTCCTCCATGTGCTTTGGTTGCTTTGGTTTGGTTTTTCCTTCAAGCTGACCCCGTTTTCTGTGTCTTACTACAAGTGCTGATAAACCACAGCAGAAATTATTTCCCTTGGCTTCTTCTTCCCAGCCCTTTTCCATTGCTGCAGATGCCAGGAAGACCAGGGCCTGTTTCCAGAAATGCCTCATTTGCCTATTTTGCACTGGCCTTGACTGTTTCTGAAGGGACTTTCTGAAAGGTTTTCTGATTGCTTTTGTCCCAAGTGCTGCACGGCCTCCTCCCCTGGATAACCCTGGGAGTTGTGTTGCCTTGTTCTGCAGGGAATGGTGGAACTGATGAGCTCAGAAGCTGAACCAGCTGGGGGCCAGTGTTGTGGTTCCACACTGATCTGGGCTGTTGCTAAACTGCTTTTTTCACCTGCTTGCCATCTAAGGCCTCTCCTTTCTCACAGGTGTCTCCTCCTTTAGACTGTGCAGATTCCAAGGACTCTGCAGCCTGGCAGGAATGTCTCTCCATCTGATTCTGTCCTCATGGACAAGTGACCTGGAAACAAAACTCCACTCCAGGCTCTTCCATGGGGGAATTGAGCACTGCACATTTGTCTCCATGCCACTGCTTTCCTCTTCCAGCTTCCTTGTTGACGGAGATCTCTGGCTGGTGATGGAATACATGGATGGGGGAACTTTGCAGGACGTTGTCAGACAGACACGCATGGCTGAAGGAGAGAAGGCAGCTGTCAGTCGGGAGGTGAGGGATCCTGCCTGTGGCTGCCACGGCTTGGGCATGATGGTCCTTCCACACAGGCATGAGAACAGGAGTGGCTCCATGCTCAGGGCTCTGTTTCTCTGTTGTTTTTATGAGCTGGAGAAGAAAGAGCCTCTGCAGTGAACGGCCTGCCAGCATCGCTGCACTTCTGCTCTGTTCTTGCTCTCGTTCCTGCTGTTGTGGCACTCTCTGTCTGTTCTGGATTTGATGTGCTGTTCTCAGCTTTGCCCTGAGCCGTTTGCCTGGAGCCTGTCTGCTCTGCACTCCTGGCCTGTCACAGCAAAGCTGCTGCTGGCAGAATTCGGAACTGTCCTTTCTTGTGTGATAGATTCCGGCCATTGGTTTTTGTCCTGGTGTTTCTTGTTCTCTCTCAGTGCCTGCAGGGCCTGGATTTCCTCCATGCGAACCGGGTGATCCACAGAGATCTGAAGAGCTCCAACATCCTCCTGGGCATGGCCGGCTCTGTCAAGCTGGGTGGGTGTTCCTGGCCAGGCACGGCGCTCCTGGGTGCGGCTGTGGGGCTGCTTCCCAGTGCCGGCCAGAGCCCCACAAGGGCTGCTGGGGGCACTGCCCGGCCCCTGCTGCCAGCTGAGAGCGGCTGCCCCTGCAGAGAGCTCCGGAGAGCAGCAGGGTGCCAGGGGTGGCTTTGCTCTGGGTATGGCCCTCCCAGAGGGCAGGAGTTGGAATCTAAATCTTAAAGAGAATCAGTAAAAGCCACTGCATGAAAGCTGAGGGTTTCTTTAAGGGTCCAGTTCCACCTTCCCTTGGCTACAGCCCTGAGCACTTTTCCAGCTGACTTCACTACTGCATTCTCAGACTGAGAGTGGGGAGTCTTGGTGCTTGGTTTCCTCATTCCAGCTGTTTTTGACAGTGTTTGTTTCTGTCCTCAGCTGATTTTGGCCTCTGTGCTCAGCTGAGCTCTGAGCAGGACCGGTGCAGCTCCATGGTGGGCACTGCTCACTGGATGGCCCCAGAAGTTGTGACCAGTTCTCCTTATGGCCCCAAGGTGGACATCTGGTCCTTTGGCATTGTGACCATCGAGATGGTGGAAGGAGAACCTCCTTACTTCAAGGAAATGAGGGCCATGGTAAGAGGCAAATTCTCCAGGGGCTGCAGAGCCCTGTGAGCACAGGGTGACCCTGCACTGGGAGCAGCAGCTGGAGGTTTCTGCACCTGGGGAAGGGAATTCCCAGAGGACTCGAGCCTCAACACAAACAAATATTCTGCTCTCCAGCAACAATTTGCTTTGGGATTTATGCTGTTGCAGCTCTTCTGGCTCTGAGGATGACCTGAAAATGTGAAGCAAGTACATCAGCTCTTTCCAATGGCTGTGGCAGCACCAGGGTTTGGGTTTTTTGGTTGGCACAGGAAAATGAGCTGTGAGCAGCATCTCTGCCAGGGAGGAAAGTGCCCCTGGAGCTGGGGCTGAGAACCCGGGGTCGCTGTGAGCACCTGTGGGTGGGAAGGAAGCTGGCAGAGTGCTGAGTTTGCTTTTCCTGCAGGCTCGCGCTCTGATCCGGCACAACGGGACCCCACAGCTGCAGGAGCCCCGGCGCCTGTCGGCTCTGCTGCGGGACTTCCTCGAGTGCAGCCTGGAGCCGGACGAGGAGCAGCGCTGGTCTGCCCAGGAGCTGCTGCAGGTGAATGCCGAGCGGCTGAGAGGAAGCAGCAGCGCCAGGGAAGGGTTTTCTGCTGGGGCCCCTCCGATAGTCTCCAGCCTCGCTGCGTTCCACACGCAAAGCAAGCAGAATCCTCGCCGGGTTTGGCTTGGCAGGGTCCTTTCGAGGGCATCTGCCCCTGGTGCCCCACAAGGAGCAGGGCCATCTTCAGGCAGGTCAGGTGCTTAGAGCCCTGCCTGGCCTGAGCTTGGATGTTCCCAGGGAGGAGGCACCTCCCACATCCCTGGGCACCTTCGGTCAGTGTTTCCCCTCTCTCCCGGCAAAAAGATTCTGCCTTAGATCTAACCTGAGCCTGCTTCCCTCTCCTGAGTTTCCCTTTGTCCTGTTGCAACAGAGCCTGTGAGAAAGTTGCTCTGGAAAGTAACAGTTCATTTCTTTCTTTTATATCCTTTGGGCAGCATCCATTTTTATCATCAGCCAAGCCTCTCTCCAGCCTGACCCCTCTGATCACCGCATCAAAGCAACTGAGGCAGCAGCAGAGGAGATGAAGCACTGGAGGACAGCTGTTAGTTACAGTAGTTAGTTAGGACAACTAGTTAGTGATGGTAGTTAGCAGTGCTAGTTGGTTATGGTAGTTAGGACAGCCTGTTTATTACGGTTCTTATGACAGCCTGTTTGGTATGGCAGTTTTTTGAATAAAAACTCTCTTAAACCTCAACTCCCTTGAGGTGTCCCTTCCTCCTCTCTCTGTGACTCGGCTGCCCGGAGCAATGTGAGGGGAGAGTGGGCCCAGCATGGCCCAGAGCTGAGCCCCAGCAGAGCCCTGGCAGAGCCCAGAGCAGCCTCGGATCTGCAGAATCAGCCTGGGAGGAGGCGCTCGGAGCCTTCTCAGCTGCACCCGACTCTTGGTTACAAACTGTGTGTCCTGGCTTGTAAGATAAGCATGTATTCTATTTGCCATCTGTTGGAGGTTGGGCAGTTTTCTTATCTCTTCCAAGAACAATGTCTCCCTCTGGGGAGATATATTCTGTTCATGGACCATTGAATGACTCACTGCATGACCAGTAAAGTTACATCATCCCATGGTGAGATGCTCCACCCAGAGGGAGGAGCCAAGCATTCCTACCTGCATAAAATCAGCACTTTTTGAGACACTGGCAGCCACTTTGCTGTATCCCCATAGGAGCAGCTTCTTCACTGCTGAATTCCCAGAGGAAGATCAGGCCCAACTACTACCAGACCTTCAGAGAAAACTCCACCCTTCTAGAGATCACCACTTCAGCAGCATTTCATCTGCCACTCCAGGAGGAGCAGCCACCATTTTAACTGGACTATTACCAACACCCTGACTCCTCAGGGTGTCAGGTTTCTGACTCCATCACTAGTTTCGTTTGTATTAATTACATTTGTTTTGTTATTATTATTTTTATTTTGTTTTTTTCCTAGTCAAGAACTGTTATTCCCATTCCCATATCTTTGCCTGAGAGCCTTTTGTTAAATTGTGGTAATTCGGAGGGAGGGGGTTTACCTTTTCCATTTCACAGGAGGCTCTTGCCTTCCTTCACAGACTCCTGTCTTTTCAAACCTAGACAGATTTTGGTGCCCAACCTGGGGCTCGAGGGCATTGAGAGGGAAAAAAGAAAAAGGATTAACAGTTCTCAAGTAATTTAATTTTCTTGTTGTTGTTGTTGTTGTTGTTGTGTGTGCTGATATAGAAACATCTTTAAGTATCACCATGTGATCTAGTTTACCCTGTTTTGGGTGGCACGTGTTTGCAGCTGTATTTCTCCCATTTGCAGGCCCTTATCTAAAAATGGGTCCTATAACTACTGTGTCTGTTATCCAGTTTGGCTTATGGGTTAATAAGGTGAGGAATTCATGGATCTTTAACTTCCTCTGGAAGGCAGGTCCATGGATTCAGAGCTATCACACACTAACTGTATGTTTTTGGGGTTACTTTAATAATGGTACCTACTGTGAGGAAATTACACTGGGGGAAATTTTCTCACAACCTTTTAACCATGTCTTTGAGTCCAGTCCACCAGTTTTCAAAGGGTTAAGATCCACTCTAAGTGCTAATGATATCATACAATGGGTGGTGCTGCTGATATGCCTCTTATGCCTGTTATATTTAGCACTCAGAGATAAGGGAAGATTAACCTGGATAACGACCCTGACACCTACACCAGAGACTGGAGATGCTGCTGCAGAGTCTGACCCTGCCCCAGAGACTGGAGATGCTGCTGCTCCAAAGCCTGACCCTGCCCTACAGCCCACCTCAGAAATGAACGACCCAGATTGGGTGAGGGTTCTGGTTAAGGAGATACGAGAGATGCTGAAGGAGTGCATTTCCCCAGCTGGTGAGAAACCGGCCCTTTGCCTTGAGGAGGGACAGTCTAATAGTACAGCTGTGGAACCCACAGATGTTACAACTGTCCAGGTTCCAGCTGAACCACAAAGGCAGTCACAGCCAGCAGCAGTTGCCCCGGTAGAAACAAGGAGGTCTAAGATGAAAGCAGAGCACCCAGACAGGGATAGGAATGGAGGAACCTCACAACCCACAGGGGAGCCAGAGATTGCTATCATCACCGAGTCCCTGACGTATGAAAGTCTCCATAATCTGCACAAAGACATTGTGCAACAAGGGCATGAGGCTTGTACTACCTGGTTACTGTGGGTCTGGGACCTTATGGGTACAGGCGTGCAGCTGAACGCTGCTGAGGCAAGGAACTTGGGACCCTTGACACAGGACTCGGGTATAAATCAGGTTTTTGTAAGGGAATCAGGGTCCCTTTCTCTCTGGGAGCAGCTCTTAATGAGTGTCAGTGAGAGGTTTGTCCACAGGGAGAGAATGCAGGAGCACCATCATAGAATGCGCTGGAAGACCCTTGAGGAAGGGATCCAACAGCTGAGGGAAGTGGCAGTATTGGAGGTGCTCTTTGCGAGGGATGGACATCATGATAATGACCCTGACAAGGTGAGGTGCACAGGGCAAATGCTGTGGAGTCTAGCAAATCTTGGGCCATCTCAGTACCCCACTGTCATTGCAACAATTGATGCTGACACTAACCGAGAGACAGTGGGCTCTGTTGCCAACAAACTTAGGAATTATGAGAGTATGATTAATGGCCCAATGCAGGCTCATATCTCAGCTGTGATTAAGAAGTTTAAAGAGGAGATGAGGGAGGAGATAAGGAAGGTTAATACAGCACCCGTGAGAGTCACAGGCCCCAGAATCAGCGCCCAACAATCACCAGCTAGAGAGAGAGGGACCATGGAGAAGACATGGGGAGATGGGATGGGATGGGAAACCCACTTCTGTCCTGGCAGCACGGGTGTGTCAGCTCAAGGAGGGAAACTCTAACCAGGGGAGTTCCACCAAAGTGAAGGTAGCCTCAACCTCCCATGACCAAGCTTTTTGGTACGATCTGTCAGAGCCCCTTGAAGGAACCTCTAGTATGATGCCTCTGGTCATCAGGGTAGAGATGCCACCTACAAATGGGCACGAGACCGAGGGGTGGATCTAACCATGGACAATATTTTTCAGGTGATCCATGACTGTGAGACCTGTGCTGCCATCAAACAGGCCAAGCTGGTGAAGCCCCTGTGGTATGGTGGGCGGGGGTCCAAGTACAAGTATGGGGAGGCCTGGCAGATTGACCACATCACCCTGCCCCAGACACGCCAAGGCAAGCGCTACGTGCTGACCATGGTGGAAGCCACCACTGGATGGCTGGAGACTTTCCCTGTACCTCATGCCACTGCCCGGAACACCATCTTAGGCCTGGAAAAGCAAATCCTGTGGAGACATGGCACCCCTGAGAGAATTGAGTATGACAACAGCACCCATTTCAAGAACGGCCTTTTCAACACCTGGGCCAGAGAACATGGTATTGAATGGATATATCATATTGCCTATTGTGCTCCAGCTGCTGGCAAAGTTGAACGGTGCAACGGACTCCTTAAGACTGCCCTGAAGGCACTTGGTGGGGGAACATTTAGAAACTGGGAAATGAACCTGGCAAAAGCAACCTGGATGGTCAACACCCGAGGATCCATCAATCGAGCTGGTGCTGCCCAGTCAGAACCCTTACACACAGTAGATGGAGATAAGGTCCCTGTGGTACATATAAAAGGTATTTTAGGAAAAACTGTTTGGATTAATCCCACCTCAGGCAAGGACAAACCCATCTGTGGGATTGTTTTTGCTCAGGGACCTGGTTACACTTGGTGGGTAATGCAGAAAGATGAGGAAACACGTTGTGTACCACAGGGAAAACTGGTCTTAAGTGAGAACTGGGTGTAAGATTTCATTGTGATGCAGATGGAAATAGAATAAGGGGTGGATAATGTCCTGGCTTGTAAGATCAGCATGTATTCTATTGCCATCTGTTGGAGGTTGGGCAATTTTCTTATCTCTTCCAAGAACAATGTCTCCCTCCAGGGAGATATCTTCTGTTCATGGACCATTGAATGACTGCACTACATCATCCCATTGTGGGATGCTCCACCCAGAGGGAGGAGCCAAGCATCCTTACCTGCATAAAATCTACACTTTTTGGGACAGCAGGACAGCCTCTTCGCTGAATTCTCAGAGGAGCAGCTTCTTCCCCGATGGATTCCCAGAGGAGCAATTCTTTCCTGCTAGATTCCCAGAGGAAGATCAGCCCATCTAGTCTATCATCAGACCTTGAGAGAAAACTCCACCCTTCTAGAGATCACCACTTCAGCAGCATTTCATCTGCCACTCCAGGAGGAGCAGCCACCATTTAACTGGACTATTACCAACACCCTGACTCCTCAGGGTGTCAGGTTTCTGACTCTATCACTGGTTTTGTTTGTACTAATTCCATTTTTTTTTAAATTTAGTTTTTTTCCTAGTAAAGAACTGTTATTCCCATTCCCATATCTTTGCCTGAGATCTTTTAATTTTGAAATTGTGGTAATTTGGAGGGAGGGGGTTTACCTTTTCCATTTCACAGGAGGCTCTTGCCTTCCTTCACAGACTCCTGTGTTTTCAAACAAAACATTGCATCAGCCCGTTCAGGGAAAACGTCTAAAGATGTCTCTAGAACTTCACTGCTGCTTTTGTAACTCTTGGTATACCATCTGAAGTAAAGACAATGGCCCAGCTTATACTTCCTGCTGAGTTGCTACCTTTTTTGCCTTTGGGGAATTATGCACAAAACAGGTATTCCTCATTCCTCAAAAGGCCAATCTGTCACTGAATGGGCTCATGGCTCCCTCAAGCGTCTCTTGGTACAATAGAAAGAGGGGGCCAGAGAGGACAGCCCTTCCAAGAGACTGCAGAAAGCCTTTTATGTGTTCAACTTCTTGAAATGATCTTTGATGGACCCCAACCCCTGATTGTTTTACATTTTAATTGTAATTCACAATTGCAACAAAAGGAAAAATCCCTTGCCTTAGTGAAGGATCCAGGATCTGGTAAGATATTGGGGCTTTATCCATAGGTCACCTGATGTCACCTGGTGTCACCACTGAGTCAGGAACAAGAGTCAGGCGACACATAAAGTCTAACTCTCTCCAGGAGACTAATACTAATTTTATTAGGAGCCCATTTCTTTTTATACGCTGCTGCAACACTGGTAGACTTGACTGGTCCTTTAATCAACACACCTCACATGATTGGCTAATTAAGGAAACACTCTTTAGTAAACATAAGAAAACAACTGTTCAAAACACCAGCTGCAAGATTGCTTTAATTCTTTCTCTCAGCCTTCTCAAAACTCCCAAGAACAATTCCTAGGAAAGTTTACCTGGCTTTCTCTCTGACCAGGCTGGGGTAGAGGTTTTGCTTGCATCTCCACAGAGAATGGTTCCAAGTGGACTCCAGCAAACAATGTGAAGGCGTTTTGAGAATCTTTGACTACATCACTTGAAGATTCACCTTGAACATCAACATTGGAGGAGAACCCTTGTGAACAGGACCTCGCCACCACATCAGCACCTGTTTAACCTCTAACAGACTTATGCCCTTGGGAAAATGGTTATGATTACCCAGTGGTATCAGGGCTTACAGGGCTAGATCAGCTTCTGGGGGATTGGAGACTTGGTGGATGGATAAGAAATTTAGTTAAAATAGGCTTATATGTATTAGGATTATATTATGTATTGTTATGCTTATTCCTTGTATTTTATATTGTATGAAAAAAATAATAGACAAATCACTTAAGAATGTATTTTTGTTTGAACAGATAGGGGGAGGTATGGGGAATAAAACAGAGAGTACAGTGGAACAGATAAAGAGGCCTGATATCTTCTTCTTCTGCCTGATTGAGCAGAAACCATGGGAGAGACAGACACAGAGAAAGTCTCCCTGGGCAAGAAGTGACCAAGAAACATATTGTGAGACATAGTGATAAAATAATGTTACCAGGTGATGTGATGTCATAAAGAAGTGTAACCAATGGGAAATTGTTACCAAAAATAGAGCCCTATATAAGCACCATACAAGTGAAACTCTATATAATAAACACCTGGTACACTCAATAAAATTGGCTTCTGATCCCAACTCAGATGCCCCCGACTCTCCATCATTGATAACCCCTGGTCTGGGTGATCCCTGTTGGGTGGGGGGAAAGTGTTGTAGAGATTTCTTTCCTCTCTCCTGCTGTGATTTGGATGGTAATAAATTCCCTCCCTGTGCCCAGGCTGGGACTGTGTTGCCAGTGCTGGTGCTCGGGGCAGGATCTCTCCAATTCCTTTTGTCTACTCCCGGCCTTTCCTCAGCCAATCAGAGACAGCGGGGCTGATGACTCACCAGTTGCTGGGCAGACCCGCAGCAGCCCGGGGTCCCTGCCGGACCCCGCCCCGTCACGGCCCAAATCCTCCCGAATCCTCCCTGCCCGATCACAGGGGTTCCTGTGCAAGGCCACGGGGAGCGGCTGCGGCCGCCGCTGGCTCAAGAGCTCTGTGGGCAGGAAAGGGGGTGATACTGGGACTGGGGGTACTCGCAGGGCTTCCCTTAATGGTGCCTCCTTTGGTGTTGGGTCAAGTGAGAGCTCCTGGAGAATCTCTCCCCACACACAGGACACTCACTGGGCCTCTCCCCAGTGTGGATGTGCCTGTGGGTGACGAGGCTGGAGTTGTGCTTGAAGCCCTTCCCGCACTCAGGGCAGCAGAAGGGCCTCTCCTCTGTGTGAATCCACTGATGCACTGAAGCATGGACAGACGACTCCTCAACTAATTAAAGCTGGAAAGAAGGGTATTTTATTGCAGTGTTGGACACGTGCAATCATTTCCAAGTACATGTGCAAGGAGTTGCAGACTCCTGCTTTCTATTTATACAGAAAAGGTTTTACATATCCAAGCTGTTTCTAAGGACACATAATACATAATCATTACCTGCCCGCTTAGTATTATAATCAGCTGAATATCCATTACGGTTGCGCAATTGTGCTTCCTTAACTGGGTCTTTGGGATTTTGAAATAAGGGAGTGGGTGTAAGGGAGGAAGAAAGCTGTCTTCCTCAAGGTAAACTCTTCACCCATGGCCAGTTTGCAGGACTTTTTGATCTGCTGGTCACGGTAGCCTCTCCTAACTGCTGATTATTCTTAAGGCAAGATATTTCTATTTTCTCTGCTCCTTCACAATTCCTACATCTATCCCTGTCACTCCTAACTTTACTTTTCTAATATATTTGCTACTCTTTAACTAAGGCATGTGATTTTTGCTAGCTAACTTGGCTTCTTAACAAATTTTAAAATCTAAACTAAAATATGTAATCTTCTACTATCTCAGTTATATTCCCAGCTGTCCCCTTGACTCATCCACAGTTTTCAATTATCCTAAATACTTTTCCATCTGACCCCTCGGCTCATTACGATGAGATTGGAGCTTCTCAGAAACCACTTCCTACACTTGGGACACTCATAGGGCCTCTCCCTGGTGTGAATCTTGTGATGATTGATGAACTTGGAGATCCACCCAAAGCCCTTCCCACACTCCCCACATATGTAGGACTGATTGATTCCCCATCTGGATCACCTGGTGCCAGATCAGGTCTGATCTCCCGAGCTCCAGCTGAAGCCCTTCCCACATTCCAAGCACTTGTGGGGCTTCTGCCCGCCATGAATCGTCTCCACCATCTCCGAGTGCCAAATGGATCTTTGGCTGACTTCTAGGCACAGAGGGGCTCTTACCTCCTCACAACTCCCAGGGCTGGGTTTGCAGCCCCTCCTTGTGTGGGATCCCCAGGGCTTTTCCTCCCTATTGGGTTCCCATGCTGTGGAGCTGCTCAAAACAGAGGTTCTGCAGCAGAGATTTGTCCTCCCAGGTCTCTGTCTGCAGCTCAGTGCCTGGGGTAAGGAAAGAAAAGAAGAGGAAGGAATGTGGAAGGAAGAAGGATAGAATGAGAAGAGGAAGGAGGGTGGACAAGGAGAGGACGGGATTTGCCTCCATGCCAGAGGGAAGGAGAAGGAGATCCCACCAATTCATCCCTGGCAGGACAGCGTTGGCAGCAGCGCTGTCCTGCAGCCAGGGGCAATGTTGGGCTGATAGGTGGAGCAGAGGGGGAAAGGGGCAGTGAGTTCCTCCTCACCTGCCTCAGTGTTCCATGCTATCTTCCTTTTCCTCACAGCCTTCACCAGCTCCACCTGCACAAAGGTTGGGATGGACAAATCCTGGCTTGGGGGAAAAACAAAGGGTGAGCACCTTGGTCCTGCTGCCCAAGTCCAGCTTGAGAAGTCACCACCCTGTTCACAGTTGGATGGGCCCAGACTCTGCTCATCTCCAGAGTCCCCCACTCCTCCAGGCTGCTGGGATCCCCCAGCTCCAGGATTGGCCATTGCTGCTCTCCCCACTCCGATGCCAATTGGAACCCCAAAACCAATGTCCCCCCCAAACTGTTACCACTGCCCCAGCCAGTACAGAGATCGCTACAGGAACCCTTCACAAGTCTCCAAAGGGGCATCTGCGTCTCACCTTTGGGGCAATGCAAGATCCAAATATCCCTTTCCCTGCAAAAAAAACTCCCAGAAGTCCCCCAATGGATTTGGGGCAAGCTCCCCCTCCCCACTTACCTGCAGGATCTGGGGCAGTCAGTGCTGCCATGACCAGGGGAGCTGCAGACTCAGCAGATGAGCAGGCAAATCGTGTGTATCTGCTGCGGTTCCTCCTCTTCCTCCTCCTGTTCCTGTTCCTTCTTTTCCCTAACCTCCTCCTCATCTTTCTCTCCTCTTCCTATTGCTCTTCCTCCCTGACCACCCCAGATCCCCCTTTCCAACCCACCTCTCCCCCATGGCTGCGGCACCAGCGTTTGGGTAGAGGGAACCTCCCATGAGCCCCCCAGGTATGGGCAGGGGGCTTGGGGACCCACCCAGTGCAGATCCATTCCCCCCTCCCAGAGCCTCACGGAAATCACTCCAGGGATCAAGTGATAGGGACACTAAGGGATCCCCATGGAACCACCCATTTTCTGATCCCATCCCCACCCTTGCCTCCCCACTCCCATTGTTCCCCCAACCCAAAGACCCCTCCCAACTCAATCTGAGGGTCCCAATCCTCTCCTGCTAAGAATGTCCTTTTCCCCTGCTCTCCCACCCCTTCCCCATTGTGCCTCCAGCTCTACCTCTCACCCCTGGGCTTGGATTTGGGGATCCAGACCCCTCCTGTTCAGTTTGGGGATCACATCCCCCCTTTCCCTCAATTCAGGCAGCTCCTGGCAGCTTTTTCCTGGGAGGAATCCCTGAGTTTTGGGACTTTTAGGATGTAGCTTAGGAGGAGAACAGCTCTGTTGGGCTTTCCCCTCCCTGTTGTGGCCCCTCAGCTGTCCCCAACACCCTGGGGGTGTCGGGATTTCCCTCCTAGGGACAAGGATGTTCATCCCCTTCCAGGAGCCCAGTGCCCAGCTGGGGCTCCAGGTCAGGGGTCCTTGAGCAGCTGCCCCAGAACCTCCACCAGAGTCTCCCAGCGCAGCTGGAGCCGCTTGGCCTGGGCTCCCCAAAGGCCTCAGCAAGGTCCAAGTCCTGCCCAGGAACCTTCAACTCCCTCAAACCCAGCATCCCCCTCATCCCCTGCAAGTTCCTCCCATGGCACCGGCCATGGCTGTGTCCCCACTTGTCACTGCCCATGTCCCACCATGTCCTCACCCATGGCTGTCTCCCCACCATGTTTCCATCCCTGTCATTGTCCCCCACGTCTCCATCCATGCCTGTGTCTCCCCATGTCCCTAGGGATGGCCCTGTTCCCGTCCATGTCCATTGTGCCCATGTCACTCTCCATGTCTAATGCTTTTTCTCTTTTTGAGCCTGGTCTTATAAGCTCTCAGAGATAAGCATTATACCCTTGATAGCTCAGCTACCTCAGGTGGCATAAAACAAGCAGGATGGCTCATGTGACAGTGTTGGGAATAAAAAGTTTTAATAAAAGGCAAAAATAAAAAAGCTTTTTACAGAGAAAAGCCAAGTCAGGGCAAGAGGTTCTTGCTCTTGCTAAAACACTTCGCAAAAGCAATTAACTTCTTTTGTTCTCTTCTTTTCCAGGGAATTGCTTAGGTGGGACTTTTTGGCTCCTGTCCAATTAGCTACCCTTAAGTTTGAGGTGAAATTCCAGAGGTCCTATGAGGTGTCTTTCAACCAAATTGAGGAGAGAAACACCTGGCCTTTTGTCCTTTTTAAGGGAACAAAAGGTTAACTTGTTTACTCTGTCAACAGAGGGCACATTCTTACATGTGTCCCACCATGTCTGTGTCCTACCATGACCACATCCACTAACTTAGTTCAATGTCTATTTTTACTTCAATATTGAATATTTTAAAGGGATAAAGAGAAATGAAAACAAAATCAAGGCCAAAAGAAAAAGACTTCCATGTCCATGCCGGCTGAGGATCCACGTGCTTGGGTGGAGGGAAGAACCTTTTTGGTGGAGTTTCTACCCCACTGTCTCCAAAATCTTGGTCTTTTCCCCAGTTTTTCCACCATCTGGCTGCAGAAGACACCCTTGGGCAATAGGAAATCAAAATCGTGGAATCCCTGAAGTTGGAAAAGACCTTGTCCTGGTTCAGAGCAAATTTGAGAGAGAACCTCCAAAGGGATTCCTCTGGAAAGCAGATTCAATTGGCTCCTCCCCCAGCCAGTTTGGGAAAAATACCTCCTTGGAGAACAGTGGAAAAAACTGTTTTTTAAAGAATAAAACCTAAACAATATTAAACAATAAAACCTCTTGCTGCTCTAAAATAGAGACAAACTCAGAAAGTCCCTCCGTGGGTTGTAGCTCAGCTCACTCAGTCTCTTATCAGTCCCTCCGGTGCTGGAAATGCCACAGTCCAGGCCTGGCCCGCTGGGCCACAGGTGTGAGCTGCCGGTGCTCTTTTGGGTGTTCAGGCCAGAGCAGGTTTAAACAGGTCCAAAGAAAAGGGAAAAACAGCCACAGTCCAGGGAACTTCTCTGCCACAGCTAGCTAAAACTAATTAACAGCAAAGGAGAGCTCTGTACCTCTGTCTGCCCATCTGCAGACAACCTGGCCCAGGAGCAGGAATGTGGAGGAGTGAGTCCAGTTTCTGAAAACATACTCTGCCCTTCTCTCCCTCCTTTGCTCTTGGAACAAGTCTTAAAGGTGCAAAAATTATAATTCACCATAAACAGAACAGACAATTGGAGATACAAGCATCATATAGTCAACCTAGGACATACCTCCAAGACCATTCAGTATTCTTTGATGCCGCCAGAAGATAGGATTGAATGCAGAAGATTTTATGGAGTTGAAAGTCAATAAATCTGCTCTCCCCAAGGAATTCCCATTGTTGGTCTGTGCCCCAATGGATGTTCCTGCCACTGGGTTTATCTAGGTGCCCACAGGGAACGAGGAAGATGTGGAGCCTCCCAGCCAAGTGTCTTCCCAACACAGATGACCAGGCCCATAGATCACCAGGGATCTGCCCAGTGAGGGTCACTGAAGATCATCCAACATGGATCCTCCCATGGAGGATGGAGCTGGGAGGAGTGTAAGAAGCTCTTCCCACCCTTGGGGAACTCACAGGGCTTCCCCCCTTAGTGGCGCCTCCTTTGGTGTTTGAACAAGGCTGAGCTCTGTGAGAAGCTCTTCCCACACTTCCCACACTCGTAGGGCCTCTCCCTGGTGTGGATGCACCGATGCTCGGTGAGGTGGGAGTTTATCTTGAAACCTTTCCCACAGTCGGGGCAGCGGTAGGGCCTCGCCTCTGTGTGAAATCGCTGATGTACGAGGAGACTGGAGCTGATCCGAAACCTCTTCCCACACTGGGGACACTCGTAGAGCTTCTCCCCGCTGTGGATGCACTGGTGTTTTCTCAGGTCTGAGCGCCACCCATAGCTCTTCCCACATTCCAAGCAGGTGTAGGGCCGTTCCCCAGTGTGGATCACCCTGTGCCGAATCAGGGCTGAGCTTTCTCTGAAACTTTTCCCACATTCCCCACACTTGTAGGGCTTTTCCCCAGTATGGATCTCTTTGTGTTCCATAAGCTGGGAGTTCAGGCTGAAGCTCATCCCACACACCCCACACTCATAGGGCTTTTCTCCAGTGTGGATCCTCTCATGTCTCCTCAGGCCAGAGCTCTGCCTGAAGCTCTTCCCACATTCCCCACACTCATAGGGCTTTTCCCCAGTGTGGATCCTCTGATGTTGCATCAGGTAGCCCTTCTGGCTGAAGCTCATCCCACATTTCCCACACTCAAAGGGCTTTTCCCCAGTGTGGATTACCGAGTGCTGCATCAGGCAGCTCCTCTGGCTGAAGCTCCTCCCACACTCCCCACACTCAAAGGGCCTCTCCCCGGTGTGGAACCTCTGGTGAAGTCTCAAGCTGGAGCTCCAGCTGAAACGCTTGCCACATTCCCCACACTCATAGGGCTTCTCCCCAGTGTGAATCACCTGGTGATGGATCAGATCCAAGCTCCGCCTGAAACCCTTCCCACATTCCAAGCACTTGTGGGGCTTCTCCCTGCCATGAGGCTTCTCCACCAGCTCCAAGCTCCGCCTAGATCTCCGCCCGCCTTCCTGGCTCAGGGGGGCTCTTTCCTCCCTGCAGCTCCCTGGGCTGGGTTTGATGCCACTCCTTGTGCGGGATCTCCAGGGCTTTTCCTCCTCCTCCATTTCCTCCATTTTCATTCCTCCCTGGGAATGAAAAATCCTGGTTTGGGGAAAAAAAAGAACAGAGCACCTTGGACTGGGAGTTCCTCCTGTCCCCACTTCATCTCACAAAGTCATTGGGCATCATGTGTCTGTAAGAACCTCCAAAACACCAAGTTCAGCATAAAAATCCTCCAAACTTCAAGACACAGATCATAACCTCCCCCCAAACATCAAGATGCAGCAAAAACTCTCTCCAAAGTATAAAGATTCTGCACCTTAAAAAAAATAAAGCAACAACATTTAACCCAATAAAGCTGAGAAATGTCATGATTCACCCCTGTGAAAATCGTGGAACCCCTCAACAGTCACCTGCTGCATGTGGGGTGGCAATGCTCCTGGGGCTGAGGGGAGGCTATAGATACAAGGAGGGATGGAACCTTGTGGTGATCCCTATTTCTGCTCCTCCTCCTCCTGTATCCCTATTCTTCCCTCACACTCCTCTTCCTCCTGCTACTCTTCCTTTTCCTGCACAATCCCACCTTCTCCTGCCACATCCATTGTTTGACCATTTTGTTCCTCAAGCCTGCTTCTCCCTCCCTTCTCAGATTTTGTGGCATTGCTCAAGACCATGGAGACAGCTGCTCCCAGGCAACGATATGTAAAGATAGCACAGGGGGCCAAAGAGTTGTTCCTGCCATTTGTTGAGAGGCTTGCAGCTGCTTTGGAGAAGCAGACTGATGATGAGACTTTGAGACAGGTTTTGTGCAAAACTTTGGCAAGGGACAACGCAAATGAGGACTATAGGAAAATTATAGATGCATTGCCAGGCGATCCATCATTGACAGACATGGTCAAGGCTTGTTCCAAAGCTGGTACAGTGGACCACAAAATGTCTGTTCTGGCAGCATCTTTACGGGTAGGCCTGTTGTCCTCAGGGACTGGTCGGCGCAAGAAGGGGAAGAAAAAGGGCAAGCAGGGGCAGGGGACAAAAGTCAAGAAGGGGTCAGACTCTAATTTTCTGTGCTCCAGGTGTGGTAAACCAGGTCATTTTGCAAAGGAATGCAAGTCTGCTTAACATGCTAATGGTAAGCATCTGACAGGCTCAGGAAACGGGGGCAGGAGCGCACAGGGGAACTGCGCGCTGACACAAGTGATCCCCCAGAGCGCAGCACCAGTGCAGGGTGCCCCAGTCAACTCAACACAGGCACCCACGGCTCTGCTGGGGTGGATGTACACACCACAGCAGCAGTCATCTTAGATTCTACTGAGGTGCACAGGGTCCCTCTGAATGCATTTGGGCCTTTAGGTCATGGACTGGGTGCATTGTTGATGGGGCCATCTAACACTACCCTTTTGGGGGTCTTTGTGCACCCGGGTGTCATTGATTCTGATTTTACGGGCTAGACTTGTGCTATGGTTTCCACACCCTCCACTCCTGTCGTTATTCCAGCAGGAACCCACATTGCTCAACTTGTGCCTTTCCAGTCGTGTGTTCCCAGGGCAGATCAACTGATGCATGGAGATGGTGGCTCCAGATCCACGGGACTGCAGCAAGTCCTCTAGTCTGCGCTCATTTCTGCCAACCGTCCGCAGATGATGTGCTCTGTGATTTTACCAGGTGCCAGCCTGCCTTGGATCCAGCTGCAAGGTTTGATCAACACCGGGGCCGATGTGACAGTCATCTCTGCCTCTGTGTGGCCTCCTAAGTGGCCTTTAGACTCTGTGGGAGTGGCCATTGAAGGCTTGGGGAGTGCAGCACAGACATTTGTGAGCCGGCAGGCTGTGTTGATCAAAAATGCAGAAGGGCAGACAGCTAAGGTTCAGCCCTATGTTACTGCAGCTCCGGTCACTCTTTGGGGGCAGGATGTGCTGGCAGCCTGGGGTGTGCGCATTGGGATGGATTTTTGACAGGGGTCACTGTGTTGAAGGGTGCAGATTACCCTACACTGCCTTTACGGTGGCTGGTGACCTGACCCGTCTGGGAGAACCAGTGGCCCCTGCCATTTGAAAAATTAGTCACCCTTCAGGAGTTAGTTCAGGATCAGCTTCGCCAGGGACACATTGAGTCTTCTACCAGTCCCTGGAACACTCCTGTTTTTGTGATCAAGAAAAAGTTGGGGAAATGGAGGTTGTTACAGGACCTCCGAAAAGTCAATGCAGTCATGGAAAGCATGGGGGCATTGCAGCCTGGTATGCCCTTGCCTACCATGCTCGCTGCAGGTTGGGAAATCTTGATCATTGATTTGAAGGATTGTTTTTTTACGATCCCTCTGCATCCTGATGACAGACCAAAATTTGCTTTTACTGTGCCTTTTGTCAACAATGATCAGTCTGTACGAAGATATCAATGGAAAGTTTTGCCACAGGGCTGCAAGAACAGTCCGACCATTTGTCAATGGTATGTGACCCAGGCCTTGTCCGGAATCCGCGAGCAGTTCCCTGACATGTATTGTTATCATTGCATGGATGACATTCTGGTGGTGGCTCCCACTCAGGAGGAACTGCAGAGGGTTTGGCCTCAGTTGTTCTCCGCCTTGCATTCTTATGGACTGCAAGTGGCTCCAGAAAAGGTTCAGAGCTGACCTCCTTGGAAGTATTTGGGGGTCAAGATTCTGGAGCAAACCATTCAGCATCAGAAGGTGCAATTTCCAGAAACTATTGCAACCCTGAATGATTCCCAGAGATTGCTTGGGGTCCTCAATTGGTTACGTCCCTATCTGGGGCTGACCACAGCACAGCTGTCCCCGCTGTTCAAACTTTTAAAGGGGAGACCGAGACCTGAGTTCCCCTCGGAAGTTGACTCCTGAAGCGCAGCAAGTGCTGGAGGAGGTTCAAAAGGCTCTGTCTACTCGCCAGGTTTACCGAGTAGACCCTTCCGTTGATATCACTGTTTTTATTACCTATCCAGACAGCCATCCCACGGGTATCATTGGCTAGTGAGATGAAAAATGGCCTGATCCTTTGCACATCTTAGAGTGGGTATTTTACCCCATCAACTCAAAAAGACAGTGTCTTTGCTGATTGATTTGGTTGCCCAGCTGATAATCAAATGCCATTATCGGTGTTTGCAATTGATGGCAGCTGATCCTGCAAGGATCGTCCTTCCAATGGAACGGGACACCTTTGAATGGGGTCTCATCAACAATGTTCCTTTGCAATGTGCACTGCAAAATTTTTTAGGGCAAATTGTTTACCATCTGCCCAGTCACAAATGTTGCAACTGGCAAAGACAATCAATCTATCCTTGCGACCAAAAAATAGTCAAGTGCCAGTGCGGGAACCCACTCTCTTCACTGACGGTTCAGGGAAAACGGGAAAGGCCATTGTGACCTGGAAGGAGTCTGGATGGCAAGTGCTAGAAGGCCACATGTCCAGCTCAGCCCAGTTGCTTGAGCTGAAAGCCGTTGCTATGGCATTTCAGAGGTTCTCTCAGGTGCCTTTGAATTTGGTCACTGACTCTGCATATGTTGCAGACATAACCAAGTGGCTGGATTGCTCACTGCTGAAGGAGGTCAACAATGCCGTCTTGTTTCAATTGCTGAGAGCATTGTGGTGTGCAACTCAGGACCGGGTTCATCCATACTACATCCTGCACATTTGGAGTCACACCACTTTACCAGGTTTTATAACTGAAGGTAATGCCAGGGATGATACGTTGGCTAACCCTGCGTGGATGGCACCGCAGCCTGATAGAACTGCACAAGCCAAGGCGTCACATGATTTTTTCACCAAAGTACACATACTTTGCAAAATAAGTTTGATTTGACAGCAACCGAGGCTCGTGACATTGTCAGCTCTTGTGCTGACTGTCATGGGTTTGCTGCACCTTTACTGGCAGGGGTGAACCCCAGAGGCCTGAAAGCCTTGCAGCTCTGGCAAACAGATGTTACACACATTGCCGAGTTCGGTCGACTCAAGTATGCGCATGTGTCTGTCGACACCTTCTCGTCAGCCATGTGGGCAACTGTTCACATGGGGGAGAAGAGTCGCGACGTGATTGCTCATTGGAGAATGGCTTTTGCAGTTTTGGGGATACTTTCATGCATAAAGACTGACAACGGCCCTGCCTATGCCTCACACAAGGTACGTCAGCTTTTGCGCCTGTGGGGAGTCTCACACAAGTTTGGCACTGCACATTCACCAACACCTCAGGCCATTGTTGGACGCACGCATGGCACTTTAAAGTGTGTTCTGGAGAAACAAAAAGGGGGAATGCCAGGAGAGACTCCACACAGTCAGTTGGAGAAAGCTTTGTACACAATCAACCATTTAACTGTGCCAAAGAATTCAGAGGTTCCTGTTATTTTGAATCATTTTCTCTCACTGCATTCAGCAGGTGAGAAGCACCTGCCCCAAGCGAAGGTCTGGGTGTGGGACCTTGTCACCAATAGGTGGGAGGGCCCATGAAACCTCATTACTTGGGCCGCAGGTATGCATGTGTCTCCACAGGTATCGGGGTACGATGGATACCTGTGAAGTGTGTTCGCCCTGACTTGAGACAGCAGAAACAGAATGTGGGCAACAGAGAGCCTGTGAACGGTGACCATGGTGCTGACCATCCATCACAATCTTCAGATGATGTTCAAGACACCGACCATCAGTCAGCCGGCCCCTCCACAAGGAGAAAATGAACATTTGATTCACTTTGCTTTTGGACATGGACTGGTGACGAGTTAGACTGCGAGCATTACAAGCAGACTAACAATGTTTTAGTGTTGGTGATGGAGTTTTAGATTTAACAGTTAAATTTGTAAAGAGTTATGGTGTAAGTCAAAATCTCTTTGACTGTTCTGAGCCATCATCCAATGGGGGTTTTGAATTATCAACTAGTGAACCTCGGAGTTGTGTTTGTCCTCTTCTTTGCAAGGTGTTCTGACAAACCCCGCCTCCTTCTTTAAACAAAAAGGGGGAAATGTGGGTCTCAGATTCAGTCAAAGAAAGAAACTGAGAGTTTCTAGCCAGGCAAAAAGCCTGGGAAAGAATGTAAATAATTCTTTATCTCTCTTGTTTATCACATTCTTTATAGTTAAGTTCTATCACTATGCGTCAAGCACTCTGCACCAATGCTGAAGGTTGTTTTCACTTCAGAACCAAAGGATTTGATCCTTGTGAAGCTCTGTATAAAAGAGCGGTGTATTTTGAATAAATCGGAGTTTTACTCTCAGCACCTTTCTGAATCAGAGTCTGAATCATTCTCGATCTGCCTAGAGAGAGACAATACAAGCTCTTCCCTCACTCCAAGCTTTTCCCTCACTCGGGGTACTCGCAGGGCTTCCCTTAGTGGCACCTCCGTTGGTGCTGGGTCAAGGCTGAGCTCTGTGAGAAGCTCTTCCCACACTTCCTACACTCGTAGGGCCTCTCCCCGGTGTGGATGCGCTGGTGCATGGTGAGGCTGGAGTTGTGCTTGAAGCCCTTCCCGCAGTCGGGGCAGCGGTAGGGCCTCTCCTCTGTGTGACTCCGCTCATGTATGAGAAGAGTGGAGCTGGTCTGAAACTTCTTCCCACACTGGGGACACTCATAGGGCCTCTCCCCTGTGTGGATCCGCTGGTGTTTTCTCAGGTCTGAGCTCCACCCGAAGCGCTTCCCACATTCCAAGCATTCATAGGGCCTCTCCCCAGTGTGGATCACCAAGTGCCGGACCAGGTCCGAGCTGTCTCTGAGACTCTTCCCACACTCTCCACAATTGTAGGGCCTCTCTCCAGTGTGGATTCTCTGGTGCCGGATCAGGGTGCAGCTCCAGCTGAAACCCTTCCCACATTCCAAGCACTTGTGGGGCTTCTCCCTGCCATGAGGCTTCTCCACCAGCTCCGAGCTCCACCTGGATCTCCGCCCGCCTTACTGGCTCAGGGGGGCTCTTTCCTCCCCGCAGCTCCCTGGGCTGGGTTTGCAGCTCCTCCTCCTGCAGCATCTCCGGGCCTTTTCCTCCTCCTCCATCCAGCCACGCCCCAGGAATGACAAATCCTGGTTTGGGGAAAAAACAAGAGGAGGGCACATTGGACTGGATGTTCCTCCTTGCCCAAGTTCATCTCAGGAAGTCATTGGGAATCTTGTATAAGAATCTCCAAAACACCAAGATTCAGCCCAAAAATCCCACAAACTTCAAGACACAGAACAAAAACTCCCTAAACATCACAACTCATCAAAAGCCTCCTCCAAAACATAAAGATTCAGTTGCCACATAAAACCAAAGCACCAACATTTAGCCAAAGAAAGCTCAGAAACACCAAGATTCACCCCGTGAAAATCGTGGATCCATTTCCATAGTCACCTGCTGCATGTGGGGGGAGCAGCGCTCCTGGGGCTGGAAGGAGGCTGCAGACACAGGGAGGGGTGGAACCTTCAGCTGTTTCCTCTTTCTGCTCCTTCTCCTCCTCCTCTTGTGTATCTCGTCTTCCTCACACTCCTCTTCCTCCTTTATTTCTCCTTCTCCTGCTCAATCCCACCTTCTCCTGCCACCTGCATCATTTGACCATTCTGTTCCTCAAGCCTGCTTCTCCTTCCCTTCTCCTCCTGCCCCCAGGCCCAGCACCCACTGCCGGCTCCCTCTTCCCCCCACACCCACAGCATCCCAGCGCAGGGGCAGGGATGGACCTGGGGCAGGTCGGGCTGGGGCAGCGCTGGGCTCTCGGCCGCTCCCGCCCGCACTCGGTCCCCACTGCAGCCGCTCCCGCCAGGACAGCGCGGGGGGGCCCGGCCTTGGCGCTGCCCCACTCCCACCTCCCCAAATTCCCCTCGCGGGGGCCATGGGGACGACGGGGGGGCGCAGGTGGGGTCCAGGTGGGGAACGCGGGGAGCTGCGAGTCTGCCTGGCAACTGGTGAGTCATCAGCGCCGCGGGCTCTGATTGGCTGAGCTCTGCCTGAGCGCGGGGGCTACAGCACAGAGGGGACACCCTGCTCCAGGGGGGATGTCCCACAAACGGGGGAGCCCATGAAAAGAACAAGAGGATAGTGTCTTTACAAACAGATGCTCTGAATCTGCTCAGTGATAGGGCCAGCAACCTGTACATAAAGGAAGTGACAGGAAAAGCCATCTGTTTCAGAAAATGTTATCAATTGATGACACAGACTGCTGCTCAGCCAAGGTCCTGCTCAGTTCATGAACTTCCAGAAGAACAGCAAAGACATAACAGAGCCATGAATATCCTTTGCGATATAAAAGCAGGGAGCATATTAAGGGGGTCTGTAGTAGCTGGACTGGGGAGTCTGTAGCTCTCAAGTACTTCAGCTAATGGGGAAAGCAGAGGGAGATGTGGCCAGGAAATTTTGGATGAAAAAGAGTCCTCCAACAATTGGAGAGATCCCATGGGGAATGTCCCATGGCCTCTCCCATTTTTAGAAATGAAATTACTTTTACAGAACTCCTCTGTTTGCTTTGTGGACAGAATTCTCTGCTGATGTCAATTTTTCCACACACCCTGGGGCTCATCCTGAATTCCTTCCACTCTCCGGGGCAGCGGGCAGGGAGTGCAGCTGAAAGTGCCTCACCCACTTTGGGTGATCGGCTCCCTTGGCTGGCGGCACCGGGGATTGATTGGGGACCCGGGAGTGACCAGGAGACAGATGAGTGACACATCAGGGGGGTCTGGGAAGAGTCAGCAGGGAGAGAGCACTGAAAATCTCATCAGTGAGTGCCCTGGGATCCTCGGGGAGTGAAAATGGCAAGGCACCCATGGAGGGGAGAAAAGGGAAAGGCAGGGAGGGGTCCTGGCCAAAGGGATAATGACCCCAAAATGTCTCTGAAGGGTTCCTTGGGAGAATGCTGAGGAAGTGGAGAAGGGATTTGGACAACAGGTGATGGATGGTGTTGGTGTGCTGGGAAGGGATCGGGTGAAGGGGAGTGTGCAGCAATATGGTTCAGGCAAGAAGCAGCAGGAGGAATCTATGTGGTAAGAAAACGGATGATGGAAAAGAGGAGGAAGAGAAAAATACTCTGGATTGGGATGTTTTTCCACAGAGTCTTAACCTCACAATTTGCCAGCTGATATTTTGAATTCCCAGTTGCCCGAGACAGGAAAAGAAGGAGGTCAGGATGCCAGGGGTTTCTCTGCGGTGGCAGCGGCAGCACCGGGCGCAGAGGTGCGGCACCGGGAGCACGGGCTGGGGGCCTGTGGGGAGCTGCGGGGCCGGGCCGGGGCTGTGGGGCAGCCGGGGCTCAGCGCCGGGCGCTGCCTGACCCCACCAGCCCCGGGCAGGGCCGGCAGTGGCCCCCGGCCCCCAGGAGGCTGCGGGACGCCCCGGCCGCTGCCCGGCC